TGGAGTTTACAATGGTGTTGAGAAGATAAAAATAACCTATGAAGATTCCACAGACAGTATGTGCTCACTAAAGCAAGTCTCTCACTTTCTCTCTCTCTCTCTCTGCCCACCGTCTTCCCTCTAAGAATGAAGAGCTAATGCCTCCTGAAGTAGCCATTCTAACTCTGAGCCTCTTGGACTATTCTAGAAACTCCTTTTTCCTTCTGAACCAAAATCTGTCTCCCAGGGTCCCACTCAGGAGTCTCTGCACAGCTCTCTGGAGCTGTAAGAATAAGGGTGACCTTTCTTCCTCCAGGTCAGCCTGCCAGCAGTCTTTGGACAATTCACACAACCCCTTGAGTCTTTTTCTTCTCCAAGAGGATCACCCTCCCCACCTTGCCTCCGCCTGCCCCTCTGAGCCCACGATGTCGTGGCAATGTTAGTCTCCTTCCACCTAGCATATTCCAGTAACTTCTGCCAGAACACCAGTCCCATTCGAAAGTCCCAGGAGAACATGAACAACTAAGGTCAACAATTTTCCCTGATCCAAAACGGCTGAAAAATAAGTCCTTCCCGCTGCTTTACTGACAAATCAAACTCTACGAGGGAGAGGAAGGACTGCAAGAAATGGTAATGCCAAGTGAATGAGGATTTTTTTAAAGAGTCTCGAATCCTAAGGGCTTGTCTTGTTCTTTTAACTAGAAAGTTTGAGTCTTGATCCATTAATCCAGAGCTAATAAATGTCTGGTGGCAATTTGCCAGTTTGAACTCACAAGTGCGAGCTTATTCATTATGAGGAAGTAGCGATCTCTGTGGGGAAATGCTTGCAAACAGGATTAGTGGAGCAAGGGGAGGGCAAAGCCTTTGGTGAAAAATGTGCCCATTGCTAATCAATGGCCAACAGCTTCTCGCTGCAACGAGTTGCAAAAAGCAATCGTAGCTCAGTGATTTTTTTTTTTATATATGTTCATTTGCCAAAGCAAGAAGTGAACTTTGTGGACTGGCTGAGTCAGGATTTCCAAAACTGCTATTGGTTCCTGACACCAATAGCCAGTAAGCTGGAGTCTCTGGAGGTTCAGAAACAAAATTTAAAAGCCCAAAATGTAATCAAAGCCTCTGGTTTATTATTTAATATTCATGTAAATTTAGCATCTTATTCCACAATATTATATTTGCTTTCATATAAAAAGCATAGGTTTCCCCCTATTTCCATGCAATTCCTTGAGCCCCAGCCCACACACCATTCCCCTCCAGAGCTTCATGCGCTCCACTTTGAGAGAAAGAGACTGACTTCACTCTAAGTGAGGTCTCAATGATCACGTCAGTGGTGGTTTCTTACTCAGATCTATAGGCTTATTGATTCCAGAAGGAATTACACCAGCAGGTGCTGCGCTGTAACGTCTCAGTATCAAAGACAGACAGTTTGGATCTTGGATTACATTCATGTATCCTGGGACCTGAGGCTGTTTAATTTCTCCAAGGCTCAGATTCCTCATCTGCATGGAGCTATCTACTTCATAAGCTGTGATGGGGACTAAGTCAGGTCAGGTGTGTAAGGTGCTCAGTGCCATAGGTGCAGCACAAATGTTTCTTATCATACTGGTGGTATGGCCAGACACCTAGAAGGTTCCTGCCTTTGTGTGGTAAAGAGAATCCTGGAAATGGAGTCTGAAGTCCTGTGTCTTCATTCTTGATTCTGCCATTAGTTAGCAATATAGTCTGAAAGGAATGCTTTTAAGCTAAAATCTACCTTCTTGTTCTTCTTCTAAAATACAGGTTTCCAATGGTTAACTATTTAAGGGGCTTTAGTGCATAGGAGAAACAATATTAATAAACCTACAATCTGAGCTTTTTCTCCCTCTACAGCAACATAGAACAATAATAATAAATGACAAGATTGAGCCCACCACGTGCCAGGCATTAGCTACATTTACCTGCAATCCCCTGCCTAACTCTCATAAACTATATAGTAAGAGAATAAGAAACTTGCCCATATTGGTAAAGCTGAGGGTTGAACCAAGTCTGAGTAACTCCAGGACCTGAGCACTTAATCATTACACCCTGCTAACCTACCCTCCAAATGAGCCAAAGATCTGCTTATTTACTAATTCAGCGGGAAAGGAACTTATTTGGGAATTCTCTCTAGAGGCCCTTTAAGATTCCTGGCTGTTCCTAGCTACAGTTGACCAAGCACAGGCTGAGGCTGTGATTGCAGAGTTAGTAACTAGTGATGTCAGAGAAGGGGTAGCACTGAAGTTCTAGACCCACCCTTCCTTCTGAGGGGCCAAAAGGTCTAAGATGCTGTGGGGTTGGAGTTACAACGACTAGGATTTGATTTCCAGCTTAACTGACAACCAGCTCTATGATCCTCTGCAAGTTACTTAATCTCTCTGAGAGGACACATAAAGTTTTACCATAAATAAAATAAAATTATAATCTGTACATTGCAAAGATTGCTGGGAGGAATAACAGAGATTGTATAAAGTGTCTAACAGAGAATGTGGCTAATAATTAGAGCTATTATAATTCATTATCATTTTTAAGGCAAAAATCTTTCAAAAAGGAAACCAAAATACATTTTCAGAAGTCACATTATATAAAATGTAAAATCTCAAATACCCTGTTACGTCTCTCTAGAACATTAAGCAAATATGAGCAATTGTCAAATAATTCACAAGTGGTCTCTCTCTAAAAGATTTTACCTCTTTCTAAACAAAAGCTGCCTCGAAGTAGCTAAATTCTGACAGAGAGCAGAAATCCCTGTGAGTTAGCAGACCAGTCTCCTGGGGAGCATGCAAATGATTCTTGAATAATTTTCAAGCCTAATTCTACTTGCACTTTCCACTGTTCTAAAACCAAATCAAAATTCACTGGCGAACAAGGAGCATCCTGCCAGGATCTCATGATTTCTCAAGTGAAATTTCATCACGCAGAGCAAGCAGCAAAGGAAGGTGGGTTTAAGAGACACGTGTTCAAATTCCTGATGATTTTTCTCTTCCTGCTGAGAAAGATGGACCAAGAAGAGTCAATCATTGGACCTCATGAATTTGAGCCGATAAGCTCCTAATTGACCGGCATGTATTTAATCGGGAAGAATCGCTATAGAATTCCTGAAGACAAAAGGAAGTGAGTATGAACCCCACACAGAGTACAGGACAATGTGCTGGTTCCTGCTCCCTCATGGGGCAGTATTCATGGCTGAGTCCTGAAAATCAGGAAGAAGGACTAATTCGAGGACAACCCCATGGGGTTCCTAGTCTGTGCTTTCCTCCTCCCACGCAGCCTGCCAGTGTTGTGCCATAGTTTCCTGGCAGAGCCAGAAGAGTGGGGAAAAAGCTGGGAGGGAGGTGGAGGAGGCACTCAGGTGGCTATACTGATCCTGACAGCAGCTACCAGGCCCAGTGGTCCTACCTGATTGAAACTTTGGGTATCCCATGCTGGAGAAGGCCTTTACTGTTATTAGGCAATTAGCTAATTTAACCAAAACAAGAACTAGACTGGCACTTCTCAAGGACCTGCATCCACTTACCAATACACACTGCTCCTAGAAAGCTAATGTAGAAGGTGCTATAGGTATATACAAATTAAGAGTTCAGACTCCAGAGCCAGCCTGCTTCTCTGCTGGGCCACCTAAGACAAGTTATTTAACCACTCTGCCTTAGTTTCTCCATTATGAAAGGTGGAACAAACAATCATAGTATCCATCTCACAGGGCTGTGATGACAATTAAGTGAGTGACTACATGTAAGGTAGACCAATGCCTCACACATAGTAAGTGCTCAATACACATTATTATTCTAAACCACGCACCCCTTTGCCATATAGTTACACAGCTTGCTTAGAGCTCACTAATTGCTTTCAGGTTCTCATTCAAATTTCATGACAACCCAGAGAGGCCTGGCAGGAACCATTATCCCCACTTCACAGATGGAAAACCTATGGCTCAAAGAACTTCTATGATTTGTCCAAGGCTGAGGTTATGAACCTCATAATTATCAGAGGAGACACCTGAAACCAGAGGTTTGGGTGTCACATATAACACAGCTTATGTAGAATTTTGGCTACAATGTTTAATTAAATTGAAACAAATACTTCCATTTTAACCCTGCATCCACCTATGTATCCAGCTGGAGATCATTCATCCGACCTGTGGGCTCACAGGGCAGCACTGGGTTTTTAGCACTCAGCTGATCAGGGCACCTTGTCAGGTAGCAGGCCATTCCCAGGAGCCACATCCTGTTCCTTTCCCATTTGCTCTCTTGAGTTTGAGGCACTCCACAGTCACGTGGAATAGGACCAAAGCCAGCAGGCAAAAATCAGCTTTGGGGAAACTAGAGTTAGCATCTTGAAAATATATGACCATTCTGGCCAGAATCGCCACACACAGACTCACACAACAGTTTCCTGAATTTCCACGTGATATGACAAGCAGGTCTGTAATAAGCTCTCTCTGGTGAATAAAAGTTTATCTGCACCACCAATTGTATTTCACGTACCCAAAAAGCAGACTAATCACAAATTTTAAAGTGGCCAATGACAGGATCATCTCAGAGCTGAAGAACCACTTATGTTCTCTCAGCCAGTTGGGGAATGTTACCCCCGCAGGTCTGGATGGCTCAGATTTGCAAAGAGAACAGGTGAAAAGAGAACCAGTGACAGCTGGCCAGTGATTATTCACAGAAACTCCTGATTCAGACAGGAGTGAGTCACATGAAAGGGAAGGATAGAAAAGGAGACGCCAAAAAAGCATTTGGCCCTTGAATTCTCTGACAAGGAGCAGATGGATGTAATCAATTACTTAAATAATTCACAAGGCAGAAAGCCTGCTTTCACCTGAATTATCTAGATAATTTTTAAAGATATAGTTTGGGTGAGGATCTCCTTGTAATCCACACAAACTGCTTGTATTTCCCCAGCTCATCAAATAATTTACTTCCACGTGAGCAGGCCACGATTACAGAGGCTTACAGAGCTACGATTGCCATAAATGTAACTGCTCCTGGTCATGTCTTTTCTCTTACATTTGTACTTCAGGGAAGAATTGGTTTCAAGCCGAGTCTTTTTTTCCTCCTTTGTGTCCTGGTAAGCTTTTCCTCTGGAAATAAACTGGGCTGGCTGTCCCTTTGATCCCATTGTGCGATTCTATCTCGTTCATCAAGCTGTGGCACCTGACCTGTTACAAGGGTATAGAAAATAGTACAATTTGAGCATTTCAAAGTGCAGGTTTTCTATTTTTAAAAGGGATATTTGACAGCCACCTTTAGATCCACTTGCTTATCGGGGTTGCGTTTTAACAAATTTTTGTGAAAGCATACCATTTATTCTCCAAAATTGGAAAAAAAAATGAACAATGGTGAGTTCATATCCCATTGAATATGGCTTGAAACATCCAAATCTCCAGCAAAGACTGATAGAAAGAAAGTATCATCATATCAGTGGCATCAGAAAATGGCCCAGGCCTGAGCTTCTACGGCCTGCCATAAAGATGACCACCGCAGCCGGGGTGAGAGCTCAGGGTCGTTCTCCAGCACGGGGAACGTAGCTTCTTTCCTGACCCATCCGTTGTGTGGGTGGATTAGAAGCAACACAAGCAGAAACCTCTTGGTTCCATCTTCATCAAGGAGCTTTTACTGATTACAGGAAATGGCTGTTAAATGGGTGAATGCACAACATATCTGGAGACAGAGGGCCTAAGATGATTCAGAACCCCTCCCCTCAGACTCTCTCAGTGGTATGAGTTCCTTCTCCCCACTTGAGGCTCTAATCACCCACCCTTATCATTTCGTTAGAAAGAGACAACCTCGTAATTTGGGGCAACATAAATTATCAAACATCAAATATGGCAATATTTTGTAATAAATATGTTCAAATGATAACACCAAAGCATAACCAACAAAGCCAGATGTTTCTCCCCCCTTGCTTTGGAATGAGATAAAATTCCACTCTTAGCTAAATATTTGTCTGTTTCTAATCAAACATAATTTTAACCGCATTGATGCTACTCATTTAAGAACGCTCTAATACTTTTCCTTCATCATGTTTTGTTTAATGTTTTTGAACCCACCCTAGTAGATTCTAACCCTGAGAACAGTCGTTTTACATGACATTGCTGTTGCTGTTCAAACTTGCACAAAGCACTTGGTGAGCAGTCCAGGCCTTTGCTATCCTGAGAATCCACGCTGCAACTCACTGTTGACAGTCACACTTTTGCTTCCATTTGCTTGTGCTTCTCATTATAAGTCAACATGTTTTCGTTCAGTTTGTAGAGTGCCCCTTTTTAGCCTCTAGCTGCTGGATGACACCATCTGTGATTGCCAAGGAAATTAAATTAAATTAAGTTAAAATTCAATCAACAGAAGATTGTTGCCTCTATGAGTTTACTAGGAACCTTGAGCGCATAAGCGTCTAAATTCCTTTCTCTTAATACAGAAGCAGACCAGCTCTGGTATAGCAACATTGGCCCATGGTTTAAAACTCGCTCAGAGCCAGGGGCCAGTCACTTACCCTTTCTGTCCCACCTCAGATGACCTGCAGTCAATGAGAGACAAATTTATTTGCTTCTGTAGTCTTTGCTTGGCTTAGGGAAATCTTTGTTTCTTACCAAAAAGAAGAAGAAAATCTTTAGACTTATGCAAAAAGAAAAGATGATTAATTGGCACAATATTATATATACTACACCCAAATAAATTCTAGATGGTTAAAGGCTTTTATTTTACAAATAAAAATAAGCCATAAAAATTGATCTTTTTTATAAAATAAAGTAAAACATTGATCATAGGAATTTATAAGCATTAAAAACATCAAGAAAAGTATGGATAAGTTGAAAGTAATAAATTTGAAAAAGTAAAATCAAAATAATATCAACAAGATGCAAATGCAAATAAACTACAGGGAAACGTTTGTAACACATATGACAGGCAATATACCTTAAACAGACATATACACACAAACACTCATATACAAGTGTACATGATACATAAAATTTTACTTGAAAATAAGAAAAAACATCTCATTTATGGTCAAAGGGTATAACAGCAATTAACAAATTAAAAAATACAAAAGATCAAAAATCCTTTCAAATTCACCTGTCTAAAACAAGAAAAGACACAGGTACAAACAGATACCGTCCAAAAACAATGATAAACTAATTTTTAATGTAGCAAACTAACCAAGATTCAAAAATATGATTGTTAATCCGATGATAATGAAGTAAAGTAAGAACTCTTGTACATTGCTGGCAAACTAACATGCTACCATCTTCCCAGAAGTTACCTTGGCCACATGTAGGGAACTTCAATGTATTTGAGGAGAAATTTATCCCAAATAAATAACCACAGATATTCATAGCAATTTTTGTGAAAGAATGTTTATTGCATCTTCATTTATACCATCAAAATATTATAAATAATGTAAACATCAATCTAGCTACATAAATCATATTAAAACCATAAAATGAAATATGTACCTTCCTAAAAATATGTAATTATATGAGGAAATGTTTACCACACAATGCTATTAAAAGCAGGCTGAAGAATTATGTATGGATATACATTTTACATTTATACATGTATCTATTATACAGATTTTAACAGTATATAAAATATTTCAACATTATACATTGTTTGTAATAATATATGCATAAATACATATGCAATCACAGAAAGAGATTAAGAAAAGAAAAAACGACAAAATGTGAACAGTAATTATTACTGAGTGTTAGGAAGATTTGTCATTTTAATAGTCCTTATGTTTCTGTGTTTTCCAAAAATGTCTAAAATAAGACAGAATTACTTTATAATTTAATAAGTAATAAATGTTATTTTAAAATAATAACTTGCTTTTACTGTCCTCCCAAATGGCAGAGGTCTTAATCTCTCTTGCTGTATAGTGAGGTATATTTCATTACCATTTCCCATAATCACGTTATAATTATCTTCTTAACCAGTTCATAACAGGAAGTGCAAAGACTCGCAGTAAGGCTAAATACCAGTAAAAATTTCCCAAGGGAAAGAACTAAGTGGTGGAGCCAGGAAATGTGGTTTGCATTATCATATGTGGCTTCAAGTTTTGCCTCCCCATCCTCAGTTCTCCTCCGGGTCTTCCTCCAACCCGTGCCAGCAGTTCATCTAAGCAAATGTGCTCAAATTTGGAAAGGAGGCATTGTCATCCCATAACCTGCTCATACCTAATAACTTGAACTTTCACTGCCCCAAACCCAAGGCACTCATGGGTGTACCCCAAACATAACATTTGGGCAGGCATGTGTTCAGAAAGACCAAGAAGAGTTAATTATTTTAAATTCTAGTACTGCCCCCCACACCAAAAAAAAAACAAACAGAAGTATCATATAAGGGACCATTTGTTCAGCATTTAAGATGTGCCGTCATTCTGCTGAGTGTTTCACACATATTATCTTGTTTATATTCTTAAACCAACCCTGCAAAGTAGGCATAAATATCTCCACTTTAAAGACAAGACAGTTGAGGCCCAAGGAAGATGAGTAATATGATTTACTTAGATAAGTTTTCCATAGTCAAAAATCTAAATTTAACTCAATGCCAATGCCTATACTCTAAAACCACTGCACCATATTATCTCCAAATAAGATGGGAAATCACGCTTTTAAAACCAACCTGGATCCAAGTCCTACTATTGGCTTTTGATATTTAGAAAGGAGATTCATTTATTTTTCATCTTTTCCCCCTCTCTTTTTCAGTAGATTGTTACTTGTCATGAGTTATGGCTTCATTCTCCAAACCTCCCACCAACTATTAACCAAAACTTAGTACCAGAAACCTACCTATTAGAGGTCCAAAAGAAACTGAAAACTTCATATAATTTAGGTGGATGAATTGTTGTTATTCATATTTCACGGATGCATTCACTAAGTCTCAAAACATTTCAGGGAACCTCCTTAAATCACATAGCTAACAAGTAACAGAGAAGAGCCTGGAACCCAGGCATCCTGCCCCTGTTCCTGAGAGCCATCAGTATAGGCAACATTTAAAGTTTTCACTCCAAACATGAAAGTTGTTGTTCCATAGCTGGTGATCCTTAAACCATTTATATATAACTTGCCTTCCGTATGGATAAAACTAGTAATTTTAGAAAGCTAATATTCTTTCTGCATTTTTTCCATGACTTTCCCTCCATGATAATAGCTGTGTCCTAGGCACTGTTGTGAGGTATTTACGCAACTTGACTTGTTTAATCCTCTTAAAAGCTCTAGGAGATAAAGTACTATTATTATACATATTTCACAGATGAGGGGACTGAAGTCCAGGGATTAAATAACCTGCAAAGGTGGCAGAATTGGGATTTGAACCCAGGCAGCCTGATGCCAGAGTCTATGTGCCATTCCCTACACTGTGCTGTTTCTCCATACAAAAGAAGTGCATGGAAACTGCACCCTGCAACCACCAGAGCTATTATTTTAGTACTATTTACAACACCACTGCTTAAAGATGTGGAAAATTTGGAGCGAGTCCAGGGATACATAATGAAAATTATTAATGTTTGAAAAATGAAACACATGAGGAAAGGTTACAAGAAGTGAAATTTTTTAGGCTTAAAAAGAGAAGTCTGAAGGGGAAGTTAATAACTCTTCAAAAAGAATAAAGGATTATTATGTAGGGGATGGTAATCAGAGTTTATTCCCGCTCCACAGAGGATAAAGTAAGAGAAAACCAGCTTAAATTGCAGCAGGAAGACATTAAACCGGCTATAAGGAAGAACTTCCATTAGGTAGCATTCTATCAATTGTGAATTTCAATTTAACCAGCCCTCCTTATTTTTCCAGTTCAAACATTATTCCTAATGAGGTCAAGAATTCCCTTTTGAATCGCGAATGATTAAATTACACTCAGGACAATATTAGTTTCAAATGTGTTTTATTTCTCAATTATTTGATAATCAGACACCCATACAAGGCTAATATGAAAATTATCAAATTGAAATATATGATTCTTCAGACTCTGTGATTCCCAGACCTATCTGCTTAGGAAGAGTTTACATGACCAACAACTCCAGGTAGATGTGGCATCACTTTCTTGAGCCCTCTGTGAATAGAAGCAGACACCAATTTGTCTGTTTGCTTTTGATGGAGTCCATCCCTGAAGCAAGGAGGTGAACTGTGTTGACCTCTTGTGGTTCTTTCCTGCTTGATGATTCTATAACCCCCTACATTTGGTCATTCATCCCAATAAAATTTCATTGCTAAAATCCATGGTTTCTTTACAACTGGGAAGAATAAAGTACAGCAATGGTACAGGTAAGAATTATTGATGGGTAAGACAAAGCAGGCCCCAGGCTAACTTACAAAGATCTTAACTGTGTCTTTAGTTCAGAGTTCCTCACTGTGGCCCTTTGACCACTTTGTACTAGAATTATCTCTAGTACTGTACTTGTTAAAAATTAATCAGACTCTTTAAAGAGGGGCCCAAAAAACTGCATTTTAAGCACTCTTCCAACTCATTTTTTTCAAATGTACACTAAGCTTTAAGAACCAATGAAATTCGTGTCTAAGGACTTTATTCCACTACTAAGGAAAGGGAGATCTAGAGAAATCAATATTTGTCCATCTAGTTACTAGAAGAACCAGGAACAGAATGTGATGTCCAGAATTTCCATCCAATAAATCCCTTATCATCTACTTGGAAGCATTACAAATGGATTTTTAGAAAATGTCCTGTGGAATATATACTTGGCATCAAAGCAGTAATCAGAGCGGTTTGTTTCTCTGCATAATTACTATGGAGAAAAATACCAATGACCTATGTGTTAGCTTACTTGGCGCCACAAATAACTGAATCTCACCTACAAGAGGCTCAAACTATCAAGAAATAGATTAGTTCATTCTAGGGGGAATCTAGAGGCAAGACAGGCTCCTGAGTCAGTTGATCCAATGGCTCAACCCCTGCCATTTAATACCCTATTTTATCATCTCTCCACTTCGCCATCCAGATCATTAGGCTAATCTGTCACCTCTCTCTGTCTGAAGGCCAGAACATCTTTCCAAGAAGGCCCCAGAAATACTTTTTTCTTTCATTGGCTCAAATAAGTGGAAGTTTATCCATTCCTCAACCAATTACCAGTAATAAGACTAAAAATACTACAAGACTATAGTACAATAAGACTGAAAAATAATGGGCTGTAATAACCAGCTGGCGTGGAATGGAGGTGGGGAGTCAACCACAATGTGCTTTACAGCCCGAGAGGGAAATGGCTAGAGAAACTCCCATGCCCTCCACAGCCAGAGTCAATCCCCAGAGGAAGGCCACTCAGGGGCCTGGCCTCCACCAGGCGT